TAAGGGAGTATTTTAACGGTTGCACTTGTTTTTATATACCGTTTCTTGTCTTGTTACAGCCTTTTCTTTTCTTTACCATCAACTGTACAATAAATTTCTGTGGACCTGAAGTTTTCTTATTTTCGTGAACTCGGTCATGGCTCATCTTTAAGCTTAACCCGCCTTGTCTCAGGCCACACTCCAAACAATATGCTCGAAATCGAGCCTGCCCATCTAACAATTCTTCTTGTTATTGTTCATTTATTTATTTATTTTTAGGACAACCAACAAGACATGAATGAAATATAACAAAGTTGAAACAGTGAGACAGAGATTTATAATAAATTCTGCCTCAATTGAAGGACGCCACGTTATGCAAATGTGGACACGACAGAAAAAATATACAAGGTGATCCAATGAAATAAAAACATATAACTTAAAATAAACATTAACTTAAATAATACAAATAGATACAATTAATTAAATATTATTCATAATTGTTAATAATGGAGCCTGTTGGAGATTACTTAATTCTTTTCTTAATTAGTTTAATTGGTCGTTTTGAGGTTTGAACTTCTTTTTGTAAAAGTAAAATGTAATGTAATTCCTTAAATATTGTTATCACAGCAGACAGGTCATGTTTCGATTTTCCATCCTTTTTCCGAGTAATGTACGAGTTCAATATATGAACCCTGAACAAACAGGCATGGCGAACACGTGACGGGTGCGGGAGCGGGTGTAGTGTTACATTGAGTTCTATGCAACCGCCCACACAGAGCGTCAGTGGTGGTGCGCGGTCCGGTAGCGGGACCTTAACAAGGGCTTGAGCGACCTTGGACGTTGTACTTATTTCCAAGTGTGGAGTGTTTTAATTAGGTTTCAAAATGAATTCGACCGAAAAACTTATATCATTGGTTCAGAGTTTACTTAATACAAGTGATAGAAATTATAAAAACAGTTTAAAGAAGGAAATGATTTGGGAAAGATTTCCAAGAGGCCAAATCAAGAATCGTGAGTATATTATTTTTTACTCTTATTATACGACTTGTCCATCCCGTCATTTAGCATCTAAAACAAAAAAAAAACTTGGGTAGCAAATAGCAGTATGTGTCTGTCCAAAGCGAAGTGCTAGGAATGTGGAACTTTTGCAAAATTTTCGCCAATAAAAGAAGATCTTCTACATCACTTTCCGACAGTGACATGGTGCTTTCTTTATCTGTGTTAAAAATAAGTTTTTAAGTGTTAAGACGATGGAAAAAATAAAAGTTGAAAATGAAGTGTGATGTGACGCTTTTGGTGTCACACCGGCCGCCTTCGCGCCGCTGTCCCGCCACGAACTATGCGGGAGTCGGCCTCCGGACCACTTTTCCCGCTATACCGCGTCTGTGTAGCCTGACTTTATAGGATGAGTTTCAAATACGCACCAAATCCTCCTCGTTCATAACATCCATTTTATTTTGTATGAACAATGTTGCAATTAAAACACTCGACTACTTTCGAAGTCATTGCTATAGACTCGGATGAGTTACACTCACACGTCCGATCGTAAGCGCGGTCGACGGCGGAACAAGTTTAGTGGTTATTTACCCAATTGTTGCCCTTGGTATAATAAAACCACGTGTCATCATACATAGAAAGTTATTAAGCCTCTTGAAAAGTTGTCTTTTGTGGCCTTATTTTGACACACGATAACAGAGGAGTTCATATTCATGGATAGAATCATTAAATCTCATGAACCTTTCTGGGTTCTTTTTTTTGGTCAGTGCAGAATAGTACATTCGAGCATACGAATCAATCATATTATTTTTAGCTATTTTATTTTTAGCTGTTATTATTAGAGCATTGGACGGAAAATTCCAGCAAGTGATTTTGCTGGAATTTTCCGTGTTTTCTACGTGCTATTTAATAATTTATGCCATTTAATTCAGTTGTAATTAGGGATAAGCAACAACCGTGGTTTACTGAAAATGTTCGTCATATCATGAAACTCAAAGATGATGCACAGCGTCAGTACCGTATCACCAATATTCACACAAAAGTCAATACAAAATGTTGAAACACCTTGTTAATGCCAGTCTTTACCACGAAAAAACCGCTTTTTTTTTGGTCAGCAAATTAATTTAAATTTAAATAATCCCAAATTACTTTGGAAAAGGTTGAAGAATACAGTTGTCTCTTTCAAAAATGAGCCTGAACTTCCTGCGTTTTTGCGCGATGCTGATGCTACGAATGAAGCTTTTCTCGATATTCTTGATAACAATAGTACATGCATGCATGACCTAACTTATTTTGAATACCATAGATATAGTTCAGCAACTTTTAAATTACCCTCAGTACATGAACACGAAGTAGCTAAATATATTTTAAGTATTAAGTCAAATGCCACTGGAGTGGATGAAATAAACATGAATATGTTAGTAATGATACTACCAAGAACCCTAAGTGTTATATAACAGCTATCTATAAATAAATATATCGAGTCTTCTACATACCCTTCTCTTTGGAAAATTGCCATTATTCGTCTGATTCCTATAAATAATAATCCCGCTAGTGTTAAAGACCTAAGACCTATCAGTATTTTACCCTATTTATCGAAAATCTTAGAGAAGGTAGTCCATGGCCAACTTATGCGCTAGTGTGAAGCAAATGAAATCCTTCCGTCACTTCAATCTGGATTTCGCAAGCAGTGGAGCACTACAACAGCTCTTCTTGATGTCGTTGACAACATCCTCGCTTCTCAAGACATTGGTAGGGGCTCGATTTGGGCTGTTTGTTGGACTTCTCGCGTGCGTTCGATTCTATTAACATTCAAATGCTACTGTCAAAGATGTCTTGCTATGGTCTTGACCACAATTCCGTATCTTGGTTTAGTAGTTACCTAAATGGACGTTATCAAAGGGTAGTCATACAAAACTCTGATATGATGGTGCCAACATCGAATCGGGCCTCAAGACAATCCGGAAAGGCGTCCTGCAAGGCCCCATTCTTGGACCTTTACTTTTCATTTTGTACAGCAGTGATTTGGCTAAATGTATTTTAAATTGTCGGTTTCACTTATATGCTGACGATCTACAAATTTACATTTCAGGCAATACTGATGACTTGAACGCTATGGTTGATGGGTTAAATGATGATCTGAGTCGTATTTCTGCTTGGTGTTCTTCTAACGGCCTCGTTTTAAATGCTACTAAATCAAAATATTTGATACTTGGCTCTCGTAGTCAGGTGCAAAAGATTATTGGTGCTGACCCACAGATTGTTGTAGGAGGTGTGGCTATAGAAAGAGTTAGCTCAGCTAGGAATCTTGGGTTACAAATGGATAGTGAGCTGCGCTTTGAAAATCATGTATTGGACGTCACACGCTCTTGTTTCTATCGCCTAAAAGTTCTGAACAATTTTAGATCTTTTATCAGCCAGGCTCTGAGAGTTCTGCTTTGTGAGGCACTGGTATTATCTAGACTGAACTATTGCATCACGGTGTATAGTGGCTATCTCAAAAAAAGCTCGAAAAAACTGATCCAGCGAGTGCAAAATTCTTGTGCTCGCTATTATTTCGAATTCCTCCTCGCACACATATCACGCCCTATCTAAACAAATTCGGCATTCTGAAAATGAAGGCCCGTCAGAAGCTATATTTGGTCTGCCTAATGTTTGATATGGTTAAAACCCGGAAACCTGATTATCTATACCACAAGATTAATTGGTCACAACGTGTAAGGGAGGATAAGTTCCGATTAGTTTCTAAAAATGTTATTAACATCCCAAAACACAGAACGACTGCTTTTCGCGGTGGTTTCAGGTATCGCGCCAGTAAGTATTGGAATGATATTTCTCTTCCATTGCGTGACATCAATAATAAAAAACGATTTAAGCGTGAATACAAAAAACATCTTTTGTCAGAGCAGATGTGTCTCGCTTCATAGATATTTCCGTAATCAATGCGTTTGATACCTGTAAACCTAAATTTCCGTACCTATACATACTCATATTTGGTGGCTATTGTTATAATTGAATATTATATTTGTAAACTTACATTATTAATTATATTGCTTACCTTCATTATTTAAACTATTTACATTGTTTGCTTTACATCTTACACTTTTGCTTGATATACATATATATGTATAGTATTTAGAGTTAGGTATATATATTTGCGTGTGATGCACTTTGGTGGCATGGCTTACTGGGCTGCGATCGCTCACCATATGGTACTGGCAGAAAACCAGCACTGTTTGACTTCTCTCGGTCTACAGTATTTATGCTGAGTCAGGGCCATTTCAGCCCAAACTGTAGTCATAGGTATATTAAATTTTATCAGTTGTTATAGTATTTGTTTGTTTTTCTCACAGTCTTTCTCGCAATATGTGTTTTATATAAATGTGTATAAAATTAATAATGAATGTTCTATGTGCTTTTATGTTATACTTTGCGAAGTGATTGTAAATGTTTTGTATTTGTGCTGAATAAACGTGTTATCTATCTATCTATCTACCATTTAATTCCAGAATGAGACACTTGAACAATCTAGCAATCACATATTTCAAGATTAGACTTCAGAGTATAACTAATATGTGTAATGAATCTAGTAGACACTGACATTGATTACGAGAAAAGACACTCCCAGTCAGAAATTATACACTTTGTCGCTGGGTACGGTAATTAGATAGGCAGTCTTGTAATAAACAAATGTAATTTATAGAAATACTTTATGTCTTTAGAATGTTACTCCTTGTTCCGTTTTTATGGGCAAAAAACTATCATCCATAGGAATATATTACAAGAGGAATTCGGTTGCCTAATTTCGGCGCTCCGTATTTCATCCAATCGAAGATTACAAACATCAGTTTTATAATAAAATAACGATATGTCATTGTAACAAAATCTCTGGATTTACGCGATTTATGGACACCATTATCGTTCAATTATCCTCCAATAATATCACTAAAAACTGATAAAGTGATAAGTACACATTTATTATGTTTATCAACCATTATGTAAACTAGTTTCTAACAAGATTGTGTGCCAAATTGTTAGACTTGAGACGTGCGTGAAAATTACGTTTTGTGACCTGCAAGTTGAAAATGTTTTCAAATAGAGGTATGTAGGGTGATTGCACCAATGATCAACATTTCAAGAGAAGTGTTTTAAATCTTCATTAAATTTTAGGACTTTTGTTCTAGAGAACATGCCAGTCCTATCATAATCTTATTGTAATTGTCATACAATTTACAGTCAAAATTATTTTTTTTTTTTATTATTACATTAAAAGTACTACGTTACCTATCGCCGATTTACCATGTCACACAACATTTTTATATATTTTGACAAGGTGACGTTAACAATAAGGTGACATTGGAGGGGTTCAATTGTAATAGAAACATCGGTAGTTTCGTTCTTGGTACATTCCGCCAACAAGTGTTGGACGTCTTCAATTTTATGACAAACTTCACAATTTGGCAAATTCACTTTTTTCATAAGATATCCAAACTTGTTCGACGGATAATGTCCGGAACGTAGCCCAAACATTGTAACAACATCTAGCCTGTACAATTCAGAATTAATAAGCCACGGTATTTACATTGTAATGTTCTGTACCATATGCCTTTATCTCAGGACTTTACATCAAAGAATTCTTTCCAGCTGTCAGTAATTAGTTTTTTATATTTAGGTAGGATTTCATGATAAAAGGGCAGTATGGTATACTCCTTCGCCCCGAAGGGGTTCCGGCCTTGTCGTGGCGGGGGGGGGCTCTAGGAGCCATGGTCCATTTCATGCCACGGTGAAGCTTAGAGAAACCCACGGCCGATGGTGGTAGGCTGGCCCGAGGAGGAGGGCGTACCGCGTGGGCTAGTCTTGATCTAGGCCGAGCGGGTCCGCGCGGACGCATGCGGGGAGGAGGATCTCGGGGGGGAGAGACGTGTCGGTGTGTCGTTGCCGCTCGTCCTATCCTCCGCGGCCGAACGTGGGCGGTTGGCCCGTGGTGGGCGCTCCAAGGGACTCTCTTCGGAGAGTCCGCGCAGAAGGGCGTTAGGTGTTGCGGCGGAGCCTGCCATCAGATCCGCTGCGAGGGAGCAGCCACTGAACTTCACACTTGCCCTGGGTAGCGGACTCGGGGGAGTTCGTTGCCCAGCATAGAGGGGCCCAGGATGGAAGGCTCGCCTGGTGTTCGGAGAGCCTCACATTAGGAGTCGGAAGACCGATGTGTCTCCCTTCTCGGGGAGGAGCTGCGCAGGGCGCGGCCAGCCGCTGGTGGGAGCGCGGACGAATGCAACAGCGTACCCGTACCCCCACCTACAGCTGAGAGGAGGAACTTAATTATTAAGCTCTTATTGTCTTTTTTACCTTACCTGTTTATTATCTTAATTAATAAAACATCATCTCTCTATATACTGCCCACCAAGTCACTCAAGAAATATGTCTGAAATTTACAACATATTTTGAGCAGTTAAAAACATTTCCCTTGGTTTGGACTTAAAAATACATACTTTCATGCAAGAGTGGTGGTAAATCATACCAGATCTTGACTGTTGCTTACTTAAAACCCCCTCTAAAGCAAGCACTTGTTTACTTGACAGGTATAATCCTCAAGGAAGGTTATGCTGTAGTATGTTACACAAAAAAGCTATTATAATTATTACTTAAAAAACCTAAACTAGATTTTTTTTAAATCTTCAGTAACGAAGACCAAAAATCCACTAATTAACTAACCAGCAATCGACACTCACCAATAATGAACACCAAGTAATTGACACTTTCCAATAAGAAACATGTTACTAGATAGAAGATTTTGTCCTAAATCTTGTTACAAATTAATTTAATAAAGATGTCGACAGGTGGTGATTGTCGGTTATTAGCTTGGAAATCCGGATTTAAACAAATCAGTGATTCGGACATTTTAAAGGTCCTTTGTTCACAAACTGACTGGTAAAGTCGTCAACCAATTATGACTAATATTAATACAAACCACCCTTTTCTGAAGTATAGTTAAGTTACAAAAGTTATTAATTTGAATACCTTATGTTTTAATTTTAATTACAAGAACATTCTAATTTATGTTTTGCAATACATTTTATATTACAATATTAATTTATATTAACAAAAATACTATTTTAACATTATGAGCAATATGAACTGCCTCTGTGGCCGAACGGGTACCATGCCGGACTGCCACGCAGAGGTCCCAGGTTCGATTTCCGTCCGGGAGAAATATTTGTATGGCCTGCATTTATTTCTCTCGTGAGTTTGGGTGTAATTTGTGGTTGTCTATGTGTGTGTCCATGGCACCGGCGACACAGGGTATCCCTAGTGCGGGGCTATGTTGAGAGTGTTCGTTATTATTATTATTATATTTTATGAAATTTAATTAATTCATGAAATGGAATAAAGATATAGAATAAAACATTTTAATGAATAATACTGTAGTCTTATGTCTAATAATAATAATAATAAATGTTTATCGTAATAAACAGGGATCCTTGAAGTGTTACTAACAATAAACTTATAATTAGGTTAGTGCTTAAATTTTATTATGAATTTTGTGATTGTTATAAATGCCGCATCACGGGGAACTCACCCCTAGCCGCGATAGTCTTCAGGAAGCCGTTGCCGTGCCACATATTCTGTTTAATAAAGACGCCGACTTCTTGCGTAAGAGTGCCATGAAGCTGTCGACGCAAGTTTCAGCAAACATGGCAGACGCTCTGCAAAACCGTGGCAGCCGCAGCCGCGTCTTGAATGTTTTAGTATATTGTGTACGCAGGGCTCTGAGCGAGCTTTCGGTATAGCTGGCCCACAGGGCACCCGCATGCAGTGGTGTGCAATAGGCTCTAAAAAGAGCGACCTTCACCTCTGCCGCAAATCAAGCGCACCATGTCATCGGCGTCGTTAATATTATTAAGACAAACACCGTCCATAGCTCCAGCTTTACAGACAACAAATGTTTTGGTTTACAACATAACGTTATATTATTATTATACAGTTCTGTTATATAAAACATTCCACATGAGTGTTGCTGAGTTCACCACTTCAGTGCATTCGTATAAATTGAACAACTTGGGAGATGTCAATCCCCCTTGCCTTACTCCACATTCTGCAACGTATGGAGTAGAGAGAGCATTACCCCGTCTCACGACATTGGTTTGATTCTGATACCAATATGCAAAAAGGCCCCTTAGCTCCGTCGGCATGCCCGTCGCCCTCAACTTAGCCCATAAAATGTCATGTGAGACCAAATCGAAGGCCTTCGACAGGTCAAAATAGCATGCGAAAATGGATGTCTTCCTGTCGATATACTACTTGACAGTATGCTTCAACGTCACAATAGCACTTTCAGTAGATAGTCTTGATTTAAAACCAAACTGAGCATCATGTAGGTGTAGGTATGTGTCCAGATGTGACTTGAGCACACCGCCTAATGGAAGCGGTTATGGGAATACTGGCCCCAATCTGATGGTACGGAGAAACCATCTTCCCCGTTGAAAATATGTTGTTTTTAAAATTTCAATGGCCTGTCGCATAATAAAGAAAGGTGGGACGGTAAGTGTTATGCAACGCAAGTGCAAGGCGAGATTATTAGAATGTGTGCGTCCGTACACGCTCACGATCAAGACCTGCTACGTACGGATATACCATACGTGGCCGTATGTATGGAGTTGTATGTACCATACTTGTCTTACTATACTAATTAAAAATTATACGGTTTTCACGTAGATAATTATTGTATTATCAATTCACCATAAACATTTAGTAACAGTAGAGCTACTTGTGAAGAGTTCGCCCAGGGAAGTACCTACTGCCACCTTGCCTATTCTGCTGCCAAGCTGTAATGTTAGCATTACTGTTTTCCGGTTTTGAATGTTTTGAAAGGGTGCTGGTGAAATTACAGGCACACAGTACTTGTCAACTTACGTCTCAGGGTGTCAGGCGCAGAGGCAGACCCTTCAGATCTTTGAGATTTAAAGCTCTGAGTGGAACTGTGTGGAAAAGCAACTGTTATGGACAGGGCTGTAGCTTCGCATCCGGCGCACGACTTGTTCGTCCCGACACTTGATATTATAATAAAAAAGAGATCAGTTCAATAGTCTTAGGGCTATTTGGTGTTTCGTAACCAATAAAACAGGCGGGTAATGAAGTTGAAATTAATTTCGAAATAGCATAATATTAATTCTAATTATAATTTTGATGTCTTCTGTTGATTAATCATCCACTGCTTACACATATTTTAGAGACACGGTTGGATATTGAGGAGCTGCCCGTAACAACTCCCCTCCTCATGAATACCGTCGTCCAAGGAGAACAAAGCAACGGCTATTCGAAATCACATGAGCCTACTCAGTAAGTAAGCGTTATAAGATTCTTTTTCCTAACACATATTTCAAGATGTATTTTATCTTCCTAAGACCCGGCCCAATGTACTCGTACATACATTAAAGTACAAGCCGGATAATGTCGTCGCCGTTGTCCAGAGGGTATTAGGACGACATTTTGTGTGGCATTGGTGAGGCTTTGGATGTTAACGTGGCGCGACTAAGGGCCGCAACTAAGCCTGAATCAGGAGCGAGGTTGCAGGCATTGCCTTCTCCCCGCTTAGCCACTCTGCTAGATAATGATTTACGCTCAAAATCAAAATCAAAATCAAAATAATCTTTATTTCATAGGTAAGCATTATTACACTTGAAATCGTCACAATGGTTAAACACTACCGCTCATTCGTAAGGCAGATTCCCCTGAGAAGAATGAGCAAGAAACTCTAGGGGAGAAACTCTCTTTGTAAATAACATTTACAATATTTTTTTTTTTATTTGTAACATCAGAGATCGAGACTACCTCCATGAGCTAAACGGGTTACTACCACGGATTTTTGTCATCCAAGTACGCAGAAGTTGTATAATAACCTTTAGTATAAAGTGTTTGTTTCACTATAGTTTTAAACCTCGTGAAAGGCAAATTTTGTATATCAACCGGAATCTTGTTATAGAAGCGTATACATTGCCCCTTAAATGATTTTTTGACTTTGTGAAGACGACTATCAAGAAAAGCTAGTTTATTTCTATTCCTCGTATTAATGTTATGTCTGTCACTATTTTTCATAAATAAATTACTATTCCTTTTAACATAAATTACATTTTCATAAATGTACTGTGAGGCTAGTGTAAGAATGTTAATTTCCTTAAACTTATCTCTCAAAGATACTTTGGGGCCCAGATTGTAAATTGCCCTAACTGCACGTTTCTGCAGGACAAAGATTCTATTGATATCGGCGGCATCACCCCAAAGCAAAATGCCGTATGTCATTAGACTGTGAAAGTAGCTGAAGTAAACCAATCTAGCGGGTTCGACGTCTGAAAGTTTCCTTATTTTTTTAATCGCGTACACTGCAGAGCCGAGCCGTTTTGATAACTTACTTATATGGGGACCCCATTGCAATTTAGCATCTAACGTTATACCTAGAAATACAACTGTATCCACAAGATTCAATTTTTCATTTCTAACTACAATGTTTGTAACCGTCGCTCTAACATTAGGTAATGTAAATTTCACACAATTCGTTTTTTTCTCATTAAGAAGTAGGTTATTAACAGCAAACCAATCAACTACTTTAGATATAGCATTGTTCACATCGTCGTAGGAACATTGGTGCCTTTTAACTTTAAATAATAAGGAAGTATCACCAGCAAACAATACTATCTCATGTTTTACACCCTCCATAAGGCTAGGTAAGTCATTAATATAAACTAAAAACAAAAATGGGCCTAGAATTGAACCTTGAGGGACACCCATGCTAATTGCAGATCCTGACGATCTCGTACCGTTAACATCGACCCTCTGTACCCTACCACGCAAATACGATTTAAGAAGGTCGAGATCACGTCCCGCCACACCATAATGGCGAAGTTTCCTGACCAGTGTATCATGGTGCACACAATCAAAAGCTTTGGAAAGGTCACAGAATACACCAATAGCATCATGTGAGACTTCCCATGCATCAAATATATGATTAATCAACTCGACACCAGCGTCGCTTGTACAGCGACCCCGAGTGAAACCAAATTGTTTATGAGACATTAAGTTATTACTATAAAAATGTGCACACATCTGATTTAGAATAATTTTTTCAAATATTTTACTGAGAGTTGGTAGTATTGATATAGGTCTGAAATTGGTGGGGTCAGAAATACTACCAGATTTGAAAAGTGGAATAACTTTACTTTGCTTCATGAGGTCAGGAAAGACACCATCATCAACACATATATTAAAGACACAGGCTAAATAAGGCGCAATACAATCAACTATAGAACTATTTACTCTGACTGAAAGACCATCAAGATCAGCAGTATTTTTTATGTTTATAGACTTAAAGGCTTTAACAATATCGTTTGGAAATACATGACGGAACCATAAATTAGTGATACTAACTGCATTATTTTCTTTTAGTAAGGATTCAGCGGCGGTGGGAGATGAATTTAACGACTTAGTAGTCAAAATTGGAATGTCAGTAAAAAAATTTTCAAATATTGTAGCAACTTCTGCGTCTGTGTTTACAATTTTGTCATTAAATCTTAGTTGAAAATCTAAGTTACGAGGTTTGACCCTTCCAGTTTCGCTGTTCATAATATTCCAAGTCACTTTTACTACATTCGCGCTGCTTTTTATTTTATTATTTATAAACATTGCTTTGGCTGCAACACAAACACGTTTAAACATTTTCGAATATTTCCTAACAAAATCATTAAAACTGTTACTAGTGTTATAAGTCCTTTCATCGTAAAGATCATATAGTCTTTGTCTACTTTTGTGAATTCCTACAGTCGCCCAATCACTAAATTTCAATGAATTATTAATAGTTATGATTTTGGACCTAAAAACGTTATCACGTTCACTTTTGACTATGTTGAAAACTGAATTATACAATTTATTGGGATCGTTAACGTACGGAAGTTCAGTTAGTTTAAGCATTACATTATTTCTATAAGCTTTAAGTCGACCATTATTTATCGGAACACATGTGATATCCTTTTTTGGCGTTTTGTCAACAGTTATATTAAAAGTGGCCAATTGACCGCAGCGATCAGAAGTTAATTTATTTATAATAGATTTATTACTAGGTACGGCGTTAGTATAAATATTGTCTAAACAAGTGGCAGTAGTAGAAGTTATTCTAGTAGGCACCAAAAAAAGATTCACAAGATTATAACATTGGAAAAATGATATGAGCCTACTGCTAGCACTGGAATCTTCTAATAAGTTAACATTGAAGTCACCACAAACAGCAATATATTTATTTGGATTATTTAATTTGCCTAAAACTTCATCTAATCTTTTTTCAAATAGTTCGTAAGATGAATGAGGGGGTCTGTACACGCTTAATATAACAAACCGTTCAAGCTCTATGCAGGATATCTCTATAGTCCGCTCAATAGATAGGCTCACAATATCTGTACGTTCTTTAAATTTTAAATTATTTTTAATAAGAATTAAAGAGCCGCCATGAATAGCTTTTTCTCTGCTGAACGAACTAGCCACCTGGTGATTGTTGAAGCTAAACATGAACTGATGTTTTGATAGAAAGTGGTGTTCAGTAATACACAGAATATCAATATTATTACAGTTAATAAATAATTCTATTTCTAACTCTTTGCCTTTCATGCCTTGAATATTTTGATGCACCAGGTTTAATATACAATTTATTTTATTTCTGTGTGTTTTAGGTTGGTTTTTTAATGCCATTGTGTTGCAAGAGTATCTCTCCGTTGTCTTATTAATTAATTTAAATAATTAGAAGTTGAATTCTTTTCAACAGAAGACCTATGTCAACGGACTGCTCAATAGAAGCAGCCGGTCTTGTAGCCAATGATTTGGCTGAATTATTAATATAATATGATAGCAACTCTGCTATCTGTCTCCTAAAATAACTAGTAAGAAAATACCTATCTTTAGTCAAATAAAAATATTTACTAATAAAATTATTAGTATCCATAAAATGAAATTTACTATAATGAAATGTCAAGCTGTGTAATGTTCTATTTAAGTTATGCCTCAAATTATTTTCACGCTTTGGCCGCTTTGGCTTTGGCGCTTTGTAACGTTGCAGTCGCGCGCTTGCGTCGATGTTTAAAATCGCGCACGTGTGTAAAGGTAGACAATTAGCTACTGCATCGCTACTGCACCGCATTTGCATCGCTGCTAAAAGTCGCCATGTGTAACCGCTCTCCTAAACTGCAAATAGCGTAAAAAAGGTTTCTGAATTCTCTCAATTTGCGTTTATTATGTTTTATAACAGGGATTCCATATTCGAGAGGCGTATTCTAAATGACTACGCACATAGGCACAGTAAAGTATTTTAAATGTTTTTAAAGTTGAAGTCCTGTGACATACGCGTTATAGAACAGAGCGCTTTTGATGCTTTATTAACAATTTCAATAACTTTTAAAATTTTTGTCAAAGATTATACTGAGGTCACGCATGGCAATTACTCTAGTGATGTCAACGTCTAAATAAACAGGAGAATATTATAGGGTCAGAATTACGAGAGAAAATACAGACATAGCGTTCAGACACATTGAGGTCGAGTTTATTCAGGTTGCAATAGTTTTCAAATCTGGATAGATCAATGGTAACGGTAGTATTTTGTAATTAGAGTTTTTAAATAATTGCAACAAAAAAAAAATCTATTTTACAGTTTCAATTCATTTGGGAAAGTATTATGTAATTGATGTCTTAATTACGATATAGCACTAACTTTCTCCGAGCCTGTTCCCACTCATAAAGGCTATTTTATTGGTATAAATAAAGTAAACTAGGCTCTGTTACGTAAATATAAATGGACAATGTACCTTGTCTGCTGTGATCTTCACAAATGAGTGACTTTTAGTTTCATTAGAATTATTGTCCCCGACTGACAAATACTTCATAATTAGGCGGAAGATCATAGCCACGCTCTTGGCGGGCGCGTGGTCCACCCATCCACAATACAGGACACAAAATATACATCTCCTAATACCTTTAAACTCTTCCGCAGAAATTTTTCGAAGAACCACTCCGAAGTCAACACGCCGTCAACCACCTCCAACGCCAATAACACAGAATTTCTTGAGCCCAGGCAGCTAAGTAACTCGAGACTTCACAAATTGAATACTAAACTGCTGGAAGCTATTAAGAGTAGTGACACTGAAGAGATTAAACGGTAAGTGATGTTGGGTTCAATAATAAAAATAGGATTTTTTATGATACGCCTATCCATAGCAGTTGCAGTGCCACTTAGAGCTTTAACTTGCTTAGTTCTGAGAGACTACTACTGCTCCTGTCACTCTGAGATATAAGTTAAAAGTCTCACCAGCACCCTCATGGCACATTTACACCGGGTCGCCTACCGACCTTCGACAGCCTACTTCGCCTGCCAATGGCGATGCAGTCGACTCGCCATTCACACCGAGTCGTCTGTTGCCTTCGGCAGACCACTTCGCCCTGTCGAAGGTGAAGCACCCAGTCGTTTCGATCGACTTTGGCTACAAACTACCGTCGTCAGACGACTCACTTTTCACACCGGGTAGCTTGCCGACTTCGCCTGAAGACTTGGTATAAATGCTCCGTCACTCGTCAAAACGGGAACGCAGTAATGTTACTACTTGACGGCAGAAACAGGTAATTGGCAGTACTTCGCTGGACAAACTCTTTCACAAAGACCTCTACTGCTACTATAGGATTACATGCTCTATAAAAAAGACGCACATAACGAGACAAGGAATTAAAATTTGTATGGCAAAATTTCAATTCCCTCTTAGCGCATCTTGGGTGGAAATGGTCAGGATTGACGACGATGAGCAATGCGAGAATTGAAATATGTATTTGTTGATGTAATTATTAAACCGTATTGCTGCCTACTTACTTTACAACGGAGACACGATTTCTTGCGCGAGCTTGAGAGTGCCTACTCAATCTCTATTAATATCAATCGCGGGATTGTGTGGTGCATATGATTTGAGAGTTTAAAAAGCTGGCTTCATCTGATTCTTCTTCCGTGTACATAATTCATAATAACATTTACGGGACATGTTACTTTAGCCGCGTATGCCGCGTATTAGCAGTAGAGCTCCTTGTGTAAGAGTTAATCCAAGGAAGTACTGCCTTACCTATTTCTGCCGCCAAGCAGTAATGTCAGCATTACCGTATTCCGCTTTTGAAGGGTTAAGGGTGCTGGTGAAATTACAGGCACATGGGATTTGTCTACTTAATTCTCAGGGCGCAGTGGCAGTGCCTCTCAGATCTTTGCGATTTAAAGCCCTTAGGACACTGCAACTGTTATGGACAGGCGCGTGAAACTTACCATCAGGCGCACGACTTGTTTGCCCCGTTATTTGATACTTAAAAAAAAATATCGCCAGACGAACAGTGAATCTTCACAATCCACTACACAGCACGAGCTTGCATGAGCTATTAATGGCGATTTCCATTCTCATCTCGCCTCGTTTCGTCTCGCCTTGCCGTTAAGAAACCACCTTTAGTAACAATTGATCCTTTGTTTACCAGGCTCCTCGGTGGTGGTGCCAAAGCCAATGCAACCTGCTGCCTAACGTTCATTTCTGCATGCCACCTTGCAGCTCTATCAGGCGGAGATGCCTTAGCCATACTCCTAAAGAACGGAGCTGAGAAACATGAACGTGACAAACAAGGAATTACTCCTTTACATGTGGCGGCTTTGGCTGGCAATGCTAGGCATATGGCTATGTTGTTGGATTTTCCGGAAGGTAAGACTTATTACCATGATGACAAAGAAGATAA